ATTTATTCTGCATGTTATCTATCCTAAGACATGTTATAAAAAATGAAAAGAGAGAGAGAAGAGAAAAAGAGGGGGGAAAAGAACACACAAATTAAAAGGAATAATAATAATAAAAAAAATCATATTATATTTTAAGCACAATAAATTTATATAAGCTTGACTCTCTAACTTGTCCCAAGTGGAGTCACCAACTATCGCACCCAAAAATATGACGTGAACGGTGTGAGAGCGGAGGCTTTGGCCTTTAGAAGGAAGATCGAAGAAATAGGAGTCGCCACCAAGATTTTGAGGAAAATCTTGGGAAACTATTTAAAGGTGGATAAGGATGGTTTGCAAAAATAAAAAATATGTTCGGGAGTCGATTGAGTGTGGGGAAGGTGTTAGGCACCCCACAACACCTGTTCATGAGAACGGTTACCTGAAGTTTGTTGTGCTATATTAATATAGTTTTAAAATTATTTTCATTATCCCTTTTATATTCATGTGTTTAAAAAATGATAAGAATTAAGTGAGAAATATTTATTTATTTACGAGGGAGGACTTGACTCAAAATTCAACTCTGAGGCCTACATACCCTATGGTGGGGATCAAAATTCACGTAGTTCGAGCTTAAAAGTTTGTTAGTGAAAATATTTTTTTAAGAGAAATTAATTAAAAATAATTCACCATTCTGCAAATAAAACAATTTCTGAAATTTTGATATGTGTGCTTTAAATTACAAAAAGTAATTTAATTTCAATTATTTTCTCAATTTTTGAATTTTTGGAAAAGAAAAGGGTTTAAAATTATTTTTTTATATTTTATAATTGAAAATTTAGTCGCAGTTCTTGCAGAGCCTTGTTAACTCATACGATAATGCAATCATTCTAAATATCTGTGGAGATTTCAAAATCTCTCACGATAAAACAATTAAATTTATTTATATGTTAGTAATAATTTATTCAAGCATGCATATATATGTTTTTAGATAAATTTAATCATCATACCTACAAAGCCTTATTGGCTTATACGGTAATATGATTATCCAAAATATCTATGGAGATTTCAAAATCTCACACGATAAAAGAATTAAATTTATTTGATTGATTTAATATATCATTTATATATATATTTTTAAAAAAACTTAATCGTTATATCTGCAGAGTCTTATTGACACATACAATAATACGATTATCTTAAAACTCTACGAACATTTAAAAATCTCACATGACTAAAAGATATAATTGATAGATATGATTACAATTTAAATGCAATAATTTGACTAATTAATTTTTCTAAATTGTGTATTATATCATTATTTACAAAAATCATTTATTTATCATAAAAATTGAGAATCACTATATCCGCAAGGACTTATTATCCCACACAATGATGTAATTAATTTAAGTCCCTACGAAGATTCTTGAAATCTCTTATGAGACTTAGATATTTTATTGATTATAAAAAAGAATTAATTTTGATGATGAGTTTTTGAAACCCATATTATTATACAAAATTGATCCTCATACCTGCAAAATCTTATTGATTTTCACAATATAGGATCATTTTAAATACCTATGAAGATTCGTAATATCTCACACAACAAATAGATTATCAAGATATTTACATTTGCAATCGATGCATAATATGAATTTAGCATTCATAGGAACAAAGGAAGAAACTATTTTGACACTTCACTCCTCTTTTGACTTGAGGATGTATTCTTCAAGATTGTCAAATTGATTTAATACTCAGATATGGCTTTTGAAAGGAAATAATGAAAGTAATGGTGATAGCATCTAACAATAAAAAAAATAAACAAGATTCACATATTATCACTACCATCAATACTCAATTTATTTCCTATAGAAATAAAAATCAAGTTAATGTCTTAACCTTAAAAAAAAATCAAATTCTGTTCATATGTTCTTTTATGCTAAAAATATATTTTAGATCTAATTTTAATCTTAGTCTAGCAAGCATAAAAATTCCTTCACTTTGCTTGAGACAAAACTATGATGGGAATATGCATTGAAATCAGATCAGATAGCAGACAAGAATTTTCTTCAGATTTCCCATTTTAACAATGATCATCATACTTCCTTTAAGGTAATAGGATTAATCAAAATAATTACGAAAGAAATTAAATTTTTACTTGGAATTTTATCTCTACTCTTATTGCCTTGTGTGCTTCTCTCCTCCTTCCTTGATCATAGTCCTCATAGTCACAGAAAACTGCTTCTCCTGCCCAGTACTCCTCCTTCTTCGTACAGATCCAAAAGTTCATGATGTTCTCTCTCCCGATGGTGTGAAGCAGCTTCCTCTTTGCTCAGTGGACTCTGCTCCTCTCTCTCTCTCTCTCTCTCTCTCTCTCTCTCTCGTTTGTTCATCTCATTCATCCCTATCACAGCTCTCTCATTCTCCATCTCTTTCTTTGACTCTTCCTCTATTTTTCATGCTCTCTTGTTCCAATTCTTTCTCCATTTCTCTCTTTATTTAGGTGTTCTCTCACTCTTGGTCTCTCTCTTCTCTTCATCCATAGCTTTCTCTTTTTCAGCCTCTTTGTGCTCTCTTTTTCTTTCTTCTTATGATCTGTTTTTCTTTTTTTCTCTCTCACTCTTGGTCTCCTTCTCGTCCCTCACTCTCTCTCAGACTTTTTCTTTATGCTCTATTTTCTTCTTTCGATCTTCCTATCTCTGTACTCATGTATCTCTCACTCTGTCTCCTCCTCCTTCAGTGTTCTCTTTTTTTTATGCTCTCGGCTTCTCCCTCTGTGCTCTGTTTTTTCTGTAACGTCTATGTGCTCTCTAGTTTTCTGTCCTTCTCCCGTGTCCCTTACTCAATCGTTTTTTGCCTGTTTTAAAGCAGAAATAGGGAGAGTTGTGTGTGAGAGCTTACGTGTTGTGTGTGTGTTTCGTGTGTTCACTGTGTCCCCTCTGTCTTGCATGTGTGTGTGTTCTCTGTGTCTACTTTTTCTGTGCTGTTTTTATGTTGCTGTGTTTGGCAGGTTCTTTTCTTCTGTTGCGTGTGTCGTCTCTGTTTCTCTATGTTTCTGCGTGTATGCTTGCATGCATCTGTGCTTCTGCTTCTTTTTCTGCTTTTCATGTACTGTTTTTATGTGTGCATGGTGTTCTGTACTAAAGGACCAAAACTGATGGTTAAACGCAGGATTTTCCAACATTGAACCTTCAGTTTACACACACACACACATGTATGTATGTATGTATGTATGTATGTATTTAACCACAATTTTTTAGTTGTTTATATATTTTTTTTGAAAAATAATCCTTAAAAGATTGAATTTTCATTTTTTTTATACTTATTATATTTTTAGTTGTTTTAATGAGCTAAAGAAATAAAATCCTAATCAGCAGATTATAAAATTAAATCCTATTATTTAAAGTTTTTTTTTATTTTAAAAATATAATCCTAAAAAGGATTAAATTTTATTTTTATATTTTTATATTTTTTAGTTATTTATTATTATTTTTATTAACTAAAAAAAATACCCGAACAAAATACAATGTTCACACAACTACTCAAAAGTCTAACAATAGTGAAATACAACACTTCAAATAGCTATTCTTATAATTACAACCCTTCAATCTCAAAAGTCTAAAGAAAAGACGGAGACAGAGCTAGAGAAGAGACAGAGACAGCAAAGACGGAGATAGAGCTGGGAAAGAGACGGAGAGTCGGAGACTGAGCTGGAGAAGAGACGGAGACAGTAGAGACGGAGATAGAGCTGGAAAAGAGATAGAGAGTCGGAGACTGAGCTGAAGAAGAGATGGAGACAATAGAGACGGAGATAGAGCTGGAGCTTGAAGAAGAGACATTGATTAGGTTAGGGTGAGAGAGAAGAGACACAGATGAAAGGCTGAATTGAATGCTATATGAAAATCAGGATTGGACTTAGCGTGCTTTGCCTCTAATTTTTTATTTTTTGACTTCAGTTTCACTTTTTTGTGTCATCTTATTTCTAAACTCAGCGCTTTAGAAAATCAAAAAATGAAAAAAAAAATCCCCCAAAACGACGTCTTTTTGGGGGTTTTGTCTGAAAAAATAATAACCCAATTAACCCAGTCAACCCATCGGGTTATCCAGGTTATACCGGGTTGAACCTGGATTGATCGGGTTACACCAGTTCATTTCCTCACTGATTTAGGAGTAGACCCAGACCGGACAAGGGATCGGGTCACCAATTTTCAAGTTGAAAAATTAATTACATTTAGTTGAAAAAATGAGTCAAGCTAAAGTTGTGAAATTGTAATATTATTGCATAAATATAAAGAAAACAACTAACACGGGTGAGTGAGTTGAATTGAGTTTCATGACATCTATAAGGCCAATTTCAATGAAGACCATTTGACCCAACTTAATTTTAATTAGTGCTCCTAAAATTTTAAAATTTCACTCTATATGTAAAAGATTGAAATGAAATTAAGAAGCTGATTAGACTTTATTGTCCTTGGTGATATGAACAAGTGAAATTAGATGCATAAACAAATCATGTAAGGAAAATAAATAATTAATATATGGAGAATGAACAGCTGATATAAATGGAATGAGAGATGCAAATTCATAGTGGTGTTATGTAGTTAATGAAAATTTTAAATTTCACCTACATCAGTTGTTTATTTTTCATACATCAATTATTCATTTTTTCTTTGCAAGTTGTTCATGTATTTAATTTCACTAAGGGCAATAAGGTTATTTTAGTGAACTCTTTAATTTTACTTCAATCCCCTACAAGTATAATGAAATTTTATAATTTTAAAGACTTTTACTAAAGTTAAATTAAGTCAAGGGATCTTACTAAAATTTTTCCTCACAAATATTTACGAGTTGGTTAAAAGATAAAAAGGAACAAGTGAATGATTTTTGATGGTACCTCGTGTACTTAATTATAAAATTTATACATAAAAATTTTGAGAATAAAGAAATCAAAAGAAAGAAAAAAAAAAAACAACAACAACAACAAAGAAAGAAAGAAAATAAAAACAGTGATGATAAACTACAATCTGGTCCACTCATTGCCATCTATGAAACTAAGTGAGATAAAAGGCTTAGCTTCCTCATCGGTGAGTTCTTTGCACCATGATACTCTGCCTGCAAAGCTAGCTCCTTGTCCCGTGCATTTGTACTGTCCATAAAATATTGTCCTGTGGGCCCATTTAACCACAAATTCAAGTCACCGCACAAGCCCATGTGCTTAGAAATAAAACGGAAAATGACACTTTTAGAAGCTTGTAAGGAGAATAATGACAACTAAAAAATCGGTTTTAATTTAGCTCTCACGATTTTCAACTGAAATTTATTTTTAACAAATATTTAGCCATTTCAAAATTAATATTCTTAATGTCCTTGTTCTTCTTGCAAGGCCTAAAGTGTCATTCAATTTTATAGAAATAAACATAGTCACAGTGGGATCAAGATTCTTTTCTTGACAAGTATAGCATCAAATATTGACATGCAGTTGTAGAATCGGTAATTTAAATTTAAAATTTTACGTTTATTTTAAACTTACTCGGACCACCCAAATAAATTTATAAGAAATATAGGTTAAGTCGAAACCCTGGTTGGACTTTTGCTTGAATATTTGAATTTTTTAATTATAAATAAAACTAGATTAAAATAAGATAAAAATTGAAAATCTTATTATTTAGATAAAAAATTAAAATTGACTAAATAAAATAATATTTAATAATTTAAGTATATATGCTAACCTGAATGAGCCAAAATGTCTGTTAAGGTCAGGGCTAAATAAGTCTAGCCTGAATTATAACTTCTACACAATTGTCATTTTATTATACTTAAGTTGTCAATAAATTTAAAAATAATTTAAGGTATTGTGTGTGGGGTCTGTGAGTAATTTTTTCAATAAAAAATAATTTTCAATTGAGCTCTCATGGTTTTCAATTGAAGTTGTCAAATTTTAATTTTTTCAATAATGATATTCTCAAATTTTAATATTTATTCTATTATATTTTAATATAAAAATTTTTAATTTATTATTAATATTTTAAATCCTTACTTGTCATTCTTTCTAAGATATATTATCCCTGTATTGTGGTTGACAAGTACTATAGAAGCCCATACCCACATAACAAAAATAAATAGACTATGTGCAACACAGCAATAGATGCTTTGGAAATAGCCAACTAGGTGGGTGGCTCATGCTCTTTTCTCAATTCATTCCATTACACAAGCGTGCTTCGCTGGCTCGTCTATATTTAAGCCAAACACAGACACTCCCAGCTTGGTGGCTATGAATGACACACACACACACTCTCTCTCTCTCTCTAAATATATTCTTTTAGGTTTAAAATATAAGTATTTTTTTCCAATTAATCATGATTTAAAATATAAATATTTGTAAGTTATTTTTCTATTTTTCCCCTTATATTTTTTAATTTGAATTTTCTTATTTTTAAATTTATGACTTTCTTGTCATCATAAATTGAAACTACTGGCAAAAAAGAAAAACAATATGTATACAATTATGAGGATAAAAATTTTATTGTTATGCAAGAATTTTTGTTAAAAGCTTGTACATTTTGAACCGGAAGAAGCATATAGTTCAACTAAAACTGTTAATTTCTGTATCCTTAAAAAAGCTTGCATTTCTTTTTTTAAATATTTTGTGGGGTGGACGACACGTAGATTTGCACTACCTTAGGACTGAATGTGCGTGTTTATGATATAAAATTGCTGTAACTATCTACATAACTAATACACTCATATTTTGTTTGGTGACAGTAGGCTTGTTCATAAATAAAAGAAAAGCTGATATACCTCATGATAGGGACTGGTATGTGAATCACATGCCTGTCACTTAGAATTATTAATCAAGCTTATTAAGTATGGGAAAAAGTCTGCACCTAAATTCTCCACATCACGAGCAACATGACAAAAAGAAGAAATTGTAGCTATGTCACACGGCTTCCGCAACAGATTATACTGAAAGTCACCGCCCCATTATTGTCCCCACTTACTTACTAGTCCTAAAAGAGAACTTAAAGTTCAAAGGATGATACTCACCACAGAACACCAAACAGAGTCCTCTGTTTTGTGAAGTTGTTTTCCGTACAATTCTAGCTTGGCTCTTTCTGGTTTAGTTTTTACGAATTTGGAGAGAGAAGAAAATGGGGAGAATAAAATATTACCGAAGAAAAACTTTTAAAATCGATAACTTACTACTTTTAGAAGTTTTTCCTTCTAATATTTTTTTCTTTGTCCAAACAATGCCATCAGTTGGAATCAAGAATGTTATGTATGGAGCCTACATGGGAGAGAGAATCCAACTGCCAAAACCTGTTCTCTTGATCCAATGATCACTAACTTCTGGTTTGGATGAGAAGAAAATTAAAGAGAAAGAATATTAGAAGAGAAAACCCATAAAAATAGTAACACGTTTTTACTATTTTGGAAGTTTTCCTTACCAAACATTCTTTCCTTCCTACTAAGCCAAACCTGGCACTGGTAAATCATTGGATTTCCCGGCATGGTTTTGCAAAGAAACTACTATGAATGGGGGGCGACAACCTAAAAACGGGGAGAGAACAAATGAACAAGATTAAAAGGATGTTACATTTTAACTCAAAATGTCAAAATTCAAGTTTATGAGCCTTTTATATTTATTTTAGAAAAATTTAATCTTTTAATCCTCTAACTTTTAATTTACTTGTAACCTAGTCCTTCAACTATGACTCGCTGTGACTCAGTCCTTCAACTATGATTCACTGTGACTTAATCCCTCAACTTTTGAATTACTTACAAATTAGTTCCTGAACTTTTGTTATTTTTTTTTCATGTTAGCTTATATCTCACATTAATGAGCAAGAGGAGGGTATTTTATAATAATATATGAGCATTTTTTATCGCTCTTATTTGATAAGAATTTTTTTAAAAAAAATTAAAAAATAAGGACCAAATTGTAGGTGAATTAAAAGTTGAGGGACTGAGTCATAGTGAGTTATAGTTGATGGACTGAGTCACATCGAGTTATAGTTGAGAGACTGAATTACGAGTTAAAAGTTGAAGGATTAAAAGATTAATTTTTCCTTTATTTTATATCAGTTATGAATCTAATTTTATTTGATATGAGATTTTTTATGTCATCTTTGCTTCACTCATGCTTGAAAAATATGTGAGAAACTAAAACAAGTTAGAAAGATAAACATAGAGATGAGCCAAGGGAAAAATTATCTCCAAACTCATCAACATACCTATCTCTCTAGCTAATTGTATAGATCATAAGGTTTTATAGATGCATGGCGGAGAGAGAGAGATTACATACATTTCACGGTTAGGGTCTCCCCAGTTATACCAGCCCTTGGGAATGATGATGTTGTCCATGTAAGTGTAAGCAAAAACCACACGAGAAAAAGGACCCCAAGCCCTTCCTAGGTATAGTGCTCCTGAGCCAGTGACCTTACAGTGCACAAATGAGAACCCTGTGTCCTCCAACATGCTGCTCCTTCCTTGTGCAGTTAAGGCCCCTATGTTCTGTGCTATTGCATGCACGTGACATCCCTGCACTCTCAACACGTGACAACGCATTCAAATCCAATAGAAGTATTGCTCATATGTACTTCATACCCAGAGCGGAACAGAAACAAAACAACCATATTAGATTTTGATTATGAACTGTATTTGTCTAACCTCAAAAAGAGACAGGGCGTTCCCGAATATGAAATCAACTGAGCCTTCAATGTAACAATCCTTGTAATAATGCCTACCCACATGGTCATACAATGTGTCCTGTGCTCCTAGGAATTTGCATCCGTAAAATGATGCTGTGTCTGCTGATATTCTCAATGCCACTGCTTGTTTCCCTATTGCTCCTGGTGGCGGAACCGGGGTTGTGTTCTGCAATATTTTCAATCAAAATCTTAACTTTTTGCTTGTGAAATTCTCTTTCCAATTCCTGTTAGAAGTCATTACTGAAATCAAGTAAAAGTGATTAATTTATTAACTTTATCTAAAAATATAATAAATTTATAATTTGACTTCTATTTAAATAAAAAAAATTTAAATTTATATTACATTCTCTCTTATAATTAATGAATTAAACTAAAAATGTTATTAAAAAAATATAATTAATATTTTATCAAGTGATTTATATTAAATACTAAAGAATTTTTCTAAAAGACGCATTGTAATAGGAAGCGGAATGAATATAATTAACAACATATGCATAGAGACACGTGTTTGGCTTTGATTAGTGTCACTTACTTTGAATGTTATGTTCTTGGCTATGAAATAAGGTGAGTTCACTGCAAATGTTGCAGAACCATATGTTCCTAATGGCTGTCCTCTAGCACCTGGTGTTTGAGCTGTGTCACCCCATTGAACTATGGTGTTATCAGCTCCTTCTCCTTCTATGGTTATGAAGGATTTCATGGGAGGGGTGTTCACTTTCTCACTGAAAAAGAAGGGGAAAAAATGTTTCATTTAATCCAATGCACAAGAAAAGACTACACTCACTCAGAAAAGACAGTCATCAGCTCCAGAGTCTTTTATTTGGTGAAATACCAATCCCATGTGGGAAAAAACACAATAACAAACAAAAAGTTGTCTTATATCACTGTCTAACAAAAAAGGAAATGAGGATAGAGACAAATGTTCCAGAATCCATCTCTTCCAAGAACAACTGATTACGAAGAAAAAGGACCAGAAAATGGCAGAAAGTAAGTGGGATTACTACAATTGAAAGGAAACATAGCAGAAGTAGTTGTACTCACGTGTAAACCCCTGCATGAACCTTAATGATAACTCTTACGAGATTGATAGAAGGAAGAGAATCAATGGCTTCTTGAATGGTAGCAAAATCTGCTGCGGCCGGATTCTTAGAGACGTGAAGAGTGTAAGAAGGAAAAAGCTTGTTTTTTGCAGTCTTAAAAACAGAGTGCTTGAGGCTACCAACAAAGTTAACCCATCTCATGAATTGCTGCTCCGAATTTTGGAATTGGGTCCTGTTGGTGGATAGCCCGAGACCCGAATAACGCCTGGGTCTGAAGCCCTTGGTATGGCACAATGTTGGAGGATTTTGCAGGAGAAGAACAAGAACAAGAAGAAGCAGCAAGCAAATAGAATGAGAATTTAACATTCTGAAATACATAGAACGTGGCTTGGAATTTCAAGAGTGCTGTAGAGAATGGCTCTGTATGTGGGTTTATATACAAGTTCAATCCATTCTAATGTTGTGTTTAGGTGTGAAAATGGAGGTAAAGTGCTGAAGAAAGAGATGTCACGGGTGCTTCTACTGACATCCACGTAGGCAGAGAGAGAGAGAGAGTGTGTGGTGAGGTTACACTTTTTTTGAGGAGAAAAACGTCGTTTCTCTGACATTTTTGGGCCATTTTTTCTTTGCTGTTGTTGATTGGTTTTGCCCGTGAGTGGCCCTCTTTTTGTTGGTGTGTGATTGTGATAATGTTCTCGTTAGGTCATGTTAACGCCGCACTATTACCTGTTTGAATATTTATTATTTATATATCATCTTGGCCCGATTGATACTTATTTAAATATTATATGAAGAACCAAAGAAAAATATGATTCCTCACAAAATATTATAATTTTTATCAAGTCTCTTGAAACTCTTATGATATTAAAATCTTTTATAAAATAACTATAATGATCTCATTTTAAAATATCAGTGGCTACATTAGTTTAAATAAATAATGACTACTTTTTTTAAATAATAATTAAAATGGGATAGCAAATGACACATTTCGTTATGTAAGTTTTTTAATCACTAAAATTCAAGTACTATAAATATTAGTGACTACTTTAATTTAAATAATACTACTTTTCTTCTAACAATGACTAAAATGAGATAAGTAATTCCAACTTCTTGTGTACAATTTTTTTAATTAATAAAATTCAAATGTTGTAAATATAAATGACTACTTTGGTTTGGATAATGACTGTTTTTCTTTTAACAATGACTCCAATGAAATGCAAATGACAAGTTCCATTCCATAAATTTTTTGAATTGCTTATTCATTTCTTTTTTATCTTAAATTTGGGGCATTATAGTTAGTTCATGAAAGACATCTAATATTAGAAAGGCTTTAAGGGACTTGAGAAAAATTATCACATTTTGTAAGACTTCATTGTGTTTTGTATTTTTCATGGGGAATTTTCTATCATTTTCCCAACATTATAACTCATTACTAAAATTGAAAAAAAAAAAACCATAACTGATATGTTATAACCAACTCCCTGCCTTTGAATGCTCATTACCTACCTTGAAAATGAATCATGATGCATCTAATAAATCGACTCTCTTAATGTGAGCATATTCTTTATTATGAGACGGTGGGTGGGCGTGTTTATGCATATATGTAATCTGTATATAATGCTCCCTAGTCCCTCCTTACTGTCTTCATTATAAAACTCTCTTCCATCATCATTAAATCTTTCATTTAAAGAATTTTTTTTCTAAATTTCATTTGTTTTGATGTTTTATAACTAGCTAAGCAATCTACTAAAGTACTAATAAGCTAAACAAACTCAAATTTTATTAATAACAATTTTTTTAAAATTTTAAAATCATCAGTGGTGTATATTTGTGTGCGTATATATATTCTATCATGATAGATATGTCATAATTCATGGGTCATGAATATATTTCTTTTTCATATTTCATATAATATACTAATGTTAATTAAGTTGGTCAGAATTTAATTGGGAAAATTGGAGGGAAAACCTAATCACTAAAGAGTATGATATGGGATAAAATATAATTAGGTTTAATATAGGATATTAGGGTTACCCAGTAAGAATATTTATTCATTAGAAACAATTTTGATTATTTATTTTCTTGTTATATTAGATATAGCATCTTCGAGACATTACTAGAAAAAGGCTATACATAGCATTTTTTGTAACATTATGAATTTTTAATCCTGCGTTAATGACTGATTAGTGAAGGAATTAGTGATTTAATGTGGGATTAGGATTCTTTATAATGAAATGTTGTTTTAACCTATTGGGATGTTATGTGAATAGATACGAGCTAGAGAGAAAAATCTTGAAGCAGAGCATGTGAGCATAGTGAGGATTTCTCTCACTGTGCCACGCGCTGCAGTGAGGGATAGATGCGCCACGGTGCATTGTGCAGAACTTGTATAAGTAAGACGTGGTCAACTAGTGAAAACAGAAAGGGAGAATAAAAGAGAGAGGGTCAGGCATGGAGAAGAGTGGGGCATCTACTAATGAAAGTATAATCAAAAGCAAGGACAGTGTTTCCAACCTGTTACTTATTGGGTAAGTCACGTGTTGCCTTAACCTCCGATTCTACCCTATTTTCACTTAGTTTTAACTAATGAGAAATTGAATTCGAGAGTTTTAAGTAGTTGATTTCTTATTTTATAGTAATAGAAAGGTTTTTCAGAACTAAACTAGTATTTTGTCGTTGGTTGGAGTCAAAACGATAAAGCTTTGAAGCTATAAGCAAGATTTACCCCAATCTAGAGAGAGAGAGTAGTGAGAGAAAATTGCCTAGAAATGTTAAAGCTTGAAATGAGAGGTAATTAGTGGTAATATGTGTAATCAAGTGTGAAATGTAGATATGATAGCGATTGGGTGCTTAATTGCGATAATTGGCACTTTTGTCAATAGAGAAATTGACATTGAGTTGCCATTTTTGTATAGATTCTAGTGTATAATGAGTAGATAAGCGGAAAGCAATTTGAGTAAGGAAATAGAAGGGTTGAGGTAACTATATAGTTTATTGTATTTATTAACTATTATAACTGTGTAAAAGTAAATACCAAATGAGAAATAGTAGTTTATGAGTTTTTATGTATGATTTGTATTGAAAATGGTTTTAACATGAGCATTGGTTTGTGAAATTGTATTTGAAATATTATTAATTTCAATTGAAATTTATATATATATATATATGACGTATATGTTTTGGAAATGTAAAGAAAGTAGTGATAATTATGAAAAAAGCATAATCATAGGGGGTGGGAGTTCATCCAATATATATGGGGATATGTGTGTGTAGAGATATGTAAGTGAAAAATTTATATGATCAGGTTGGCACAATGGGACATCCAGTATAGCATTATATGGGCTGTTATCATGGGTAATCCAGTACAGCATATTATAGGATTGTTACCATAAGACATCCGGGCAGTCTGGCAACTCCCTAATGCTTGATCGGGTGCGGTTAGGAATCAATAAAACCTCTATCACAAGTGTGTGAGAAGGGAAACCATAATCCATAGGTGGGTTAGATTACTTTTGGCCGGGTGTTTCTACCACCAAAAGTGTGCTCGGGTTAACAAGTGATTGATCCAAAAGAGCCTATGGTTTTTGTTGGATAGGAAGGCGCAGCGGAAGATTAAAATTTTAAAGTCTCTATCCTGATATGGACCGAACGAACTCGTTTAAGTCAAAGTAGATAGAAGAGTTACCTTTTAATTCTTTAAAGTTGGCGCACGTTCTCTTCAAGAGTTTAGATCTCAGGAGCTGACAACGTAGATCTTCTCCCTCTACCAGTATCCATACGAATAGCTCTCTAACTCAAATAGTGTGCTGACACTCTCAACGTCCATTCTTCTTTGAACGTTAATTTTTCTTTTTATAGGGTGTTTTGTGGTTCTTAGAGTATTTTTATTGTCAGAACTTTTTTAACTCTCTCTTCCTTCATAAAGGATGTCTTTATCTATATATAGTGTGTAGATAAGGGTTTTCGTCTTCCACTTAAAAGCTCATAAAAATTTAATTAAATTTATCTCATAAATTTAATCCATAATATCATATTGAATTCAAATTTATCTTATAAATTCAAATTATAAAACTGACATGATATTCTCTCTTATCATGTTAGTTATAAAATTAAATCCATCATATAAAATTAAATTTAAAACTAACATAATATAATATAATATAATATCACATATACATATTATATTATATTGTATTATATTATATATACGAATATATTTATACACATATATATTTCATATATATATATATATAAAATTATATTTTGAATTTTATATTTCATATAAATATTTATCAAATAAATATTCAAAATATATATATGTATATGTATATAAAATTCATTTACTCTATATTATATTTACTGAATCTAGACATATTTCAAATTCAACGAACTTGGACTTTATAGCTCGAGTTGAGCTGTTCTTGTGTGCGACCCTATAGGCCTATATGAAATTGGTAGTAAGCTAATTACACTATTAGTCCCCAAGTCACAAGTGACTTCTAGCAAGATATTGCAACTACCCAATTCACATGAGGATCGATGATCCAATGTAACCTATCATGCAATCATAATACATCCCTTTTATCACATGATGTTTCGGTCAAGTATGAGATATGGAATTATCATTCTCCTTTACCTGACCGTTACTTTCTTGATCTCTGAGTCGACTGGCAGTAGCAATGAAAAAACCCTTTCCATTATAGTATGACTATACATTTTCTCAGTTTTACTCATTAAGAGATCTAGTAATATCTCTCACTTAATGTAAGGGACAATGTAACATCTCAAAATTTTAAGACTCAGATTTTTTAAAAAATAAAATAAAATATCTATAATTAAATTAAAATTAAGAATAATTTAAATTTTTCTCAGCAAAAGTTTGGTTTTATTTGATTTTTAACTATGAAAAAATTACCAAAGTTAACCCGGGCTTTTGTGTTATAATAAAAAATATTGGGCCCTTTCTTGTAATTTTCTCCAAAGTGTTATGTTTAGTTTCTTAAAGTGGGAATGAACGTAGAAATGAAGAAAGAAATAAAACAAAGTAAAGAACAAAGAGCACAAGAGAGTGAGAGGAAGAAGAGAGGAGAAAGAGAGAGAGTTAGGCTTGAATCTAAGAGGCTTTGCAATTGTTGCGGACTTGGCTACACAATAGGTAAACTCCCTATTTCAATCCTCTTCCTTCCCTCTTTATTTTCTTCAATTTTTGGAAGAGAAAATTTCTGAATTTTAATCCCAAAGGTTTTATTCTTATAAGCTTTAGTTTCTTTAGATCTTAGGGAGGATGTTTTGAGTTTTTATATAGTGATCTAATGTTTTAAGTGGATAATTGGATGAAAAGAGGTGGTTTGGGCACAAATTAAACCTCGAGAGATTGGGTTTTTCTTTTTAATGGTTAAAGCCTATTGATTTAGTTATAATTTTTCTATTTGATCCCAAT